CCTCAGCAACAATGGATCCTGAAAATAATTTTTTATCCTAGCAACAATAGACCCGCAGCAGCAACAACAGAACTCCCAGCAGCCAACATCAAAAGACTCTTCAGCAGCCAGCACCACAGACCCCTCCCTCAACAGTAGATCCCTTTCAACAATTGACCCCCACCCCCGAGCACCAAATGACAACCATGCAATAATAGATCCCCTCCAGCAATAATATATTTCCCAGCAGCCAGCAGCAATAGACTCCTCCCTCAACAGTAGATCCCTTTCATCAATAATCGACCCCCACAGCAACATAAGCCCCTAGTAACAATAGATCCCCATGCAAAAACAGATCCCCTCCAGCAACAAAAGTCCTCCCCCCCAGTAGCCATCATCAATAGACCCTCCAGCACACCCCAGTACCCCTTGCCATTACATACATTCATTTTTGGAGGTACTGGGATTCCCCCACATTCCCACTGAAGAAGAGCCCTATGTATACTTTCTGTACAGCTCACCAAGTTACATTTCATTTGCTTTTTTTTTTTAGCAATCACAAGCCAGAATTTCCACTTCATTAGAGTTGCAGAAGTGATGTGGCATTGTCAGCTCAGTCATGTATTCTCGGCAGCATCTGATAAGGAAACGTCTGAGAATACGAGAACAAGCCACAGCTATAACCTAAAGGTTGTGTTATGCATCATAGCTTACAATAATTAGCTAGGAAGTATGTGTTGATAAGCAAATGCATTACCATAAAGAACAAAAAGTACTGTACTTCAAGAAAATGCATCATCACAAAAGAGCACACTGATGATTATCTTCATACCATGAGTCCTGTGGTAGCAGAGCTGAGTAGGTACCCTTAGAATTCCTTGCCATACAGACTCGGTGTAACCTGGGTCACAGCTGGAGCCTGCTGCCATTTGAATGCATCCGAATGATCTCAAATCACGTAACACGGTCTTGTCAATCCTGAACTGCACTGTCTATCTGTTATAAAAAATTCATTCAGATTAAGGCTCTGGGGTCTCATTGTTCAGCTTTATTCTTGTGCTATACTATGTACAGGCAGCTCTATCACAACACAGTTACAGTCTGTTAGCCCTGGTTCACACTGATGCAGTGCGGAAATTGCAGCGTTTTCAGCGCAAATTCCGCACCACATCAGAATCGCACCCAGTTCATGCGAACTGCTGCAGGTATGTATGTTAAATGAACAACACCCCGAAAGTGGTCCACAAAACACGGTGTAATGTGCAGAATCGGATTGCATAGGTGTGAATACCCATGCGATCCGATTCTTGTGTGGACCCAAAAAAGGTTCCTACATGTTTTTGGTGCGGGTGCGGTGTGAATAGAGCCATACAAAATGTACCTCTCCAATCGCACCGCACACAAATCGCATGTGATTTGCACAGGAATGCTGTGCGGTTCCTGTGCAAATCACATGTGATACACCACACATATGTGAACCCAGGCTTAAGGATGCTCTGCACTACACTTAGACAAATATGTAAGCTTCCCCACATGGAAGAAAAATGTATTTGAAATATATTTTAAAAATATTCTTCCCAAATATATTGACATATATTTGAAATGCATATTCAATATATTTCAAAATATATTTCAATATATATATATTCAATATATATATATATATATATATATATATATATATATCGCATGTTGAAATGCATTTTTATTACAAAATATATGAAAAATATGTAAAAAAATAAATTTCAAATATACTGTATGTCGTTAAAAATACTAATCTACATTTCTGGAATGCATTTACAAATATATGTTAAAATTTGTTTTTATATGTTTAAAAACAAATATGAAGAATATATTTTAAAACATATATATTTTTTTAAAAATATATTTTTTTAAATATATTCTTCAGATTTTCTTTAACGTATAAAAAAAATAATAATTTTAACAAATATTTTTACATATATCTGTAAATGCGTTCCAAAAATGTAGATTTGTATTTTTAACGACATACAGTATATTTGAAATTAATTTTTTTAAATATTTTTCATATATTTTTTGTAATAAAAATGCATTTCAACATGCAGTGTATATATATATATATATATATATATATATATATATATAATATTAAATATATATAAAAAAAACATACAGTATATTTGAAATGTATTTTTTTAAATATTTTTCATATATTTTGTAATAAAAACACATTTTAAAATGCAGTGTATGTATATATATATATATATATATATATATATATAGAATATGCCCAAAATTGTACCATTTCAAATATATGTCAATATATTTGGGAAGAATATTTTTAAAATATATTTCAAATATATTTTTTTTCAATATGGGTCTACAGCTGACCCCATTCTGAAAAAGCTAGCTGCCTGGCTGTCGTTGGACACTACATTTGATATATCTACTTTAATCTGCTTAAAGTATATCTAATCCAAAAATGTAATATACTGCAATCTACCAGTCCTTAATGCCGGCATTAGTTTTATTATTTTTATTCCTTTATGTTGACCTGGTAATCCTGGGCATAATATACTTTTAGTCCATGGGTGGCTATGTTTAATCTATCTATGAAAAAAATCATTGTAGCTACCCAGACTGTTTGCAAAATTTTATGAGAAAACAAAAAAAATCTGTTTTTTTTTGCTTTTTTCTTTTATAGTGCAAATAATAAAAACCAAATACCACCAAAAGAAAGCTCTATTTGTGTGAAAAAAACGGATAAACATTTCATATCGGTACAGTGTTGTATGACCTCGCAATTGTCATTCAAAGTATGACAGTGCTGAAAGTTGAAAATTGCCCTGGGCATGAAGGGGGTAAAAATGCCGGAAGGCAAGTGGTTAATGTCACCTGTTCTTGGGCTTTAAAAATGTTTGTCTTTGTTCATCCCACTAAATAGAGGCTGAAGACAATCAAACATTAAAGTTTATTTTGTACTTTCGCATAGATCACAGGTGACACATTTTGTTCTGTACTTGCTAAAAATGTTCTTAGCCTGAAAGCAATTCAGCCACAACACATAAAAATGGATAAGCTGAAATATATTGCAGTTTTGTTTTTGTGTTTTATTTTCGCTGTAATTGTTCTAGATCAGTGGCTTGGAAAGCAATTAAGCCATTGGATGAGTGTGACGGACATTTTCTTGATGAGCAGTAGCAAGCAACTTATTACTCTCAGCAAAGGATCCTTTAACCACTTCCAAGTCCGGACACTTTCACCCCCTTCATGCCCAGGCCAATTTTCAGCTTTCAGTGCTATCACACTTTGAATGACAATTGCGCGGCGCGGTCATGCAACACTGTACCCATATTAAATTTTTAGCATATTTTTGAGACAGATAAAGCTTTGGTGGTATTTATTCACCACTGGGATTTTTATTTTTTTGCTATATAAATGAAAAAGCCCAAACAGTTTGAAAAAAAAAGTGTTTTTCTTATATAATTTTGCAAAGAAATAATCTTTCTTCATAAATCTTGGCCCAAATGTATTCAGTTATCTTTTTAGTAAAAAAAAAATAACCCAAATCAGTTTATAACCAAAAATTATAATTTTTTAAAAAGGTTTTAAATTTTTTATTTAATTTTTTTATATTATTATTAATGTTTTTTTTTTACATACAGTCACCCTAGCAGTACAGTGTCACCATAGTGACACTGTACTACTTGTGGGGTGTGATGAAGATTTTTTTTTTTATTACACTGATTGCTTTTACACCCATAAAAGGCTGCAAAAGCAATAATTTCTCCTCTCTGGTTGCATTCTTGCAGCCATTGAGAAAAGCTGTTAGAGCTGTGATTGGTCACAGCTTGTCACATGGTACAAGGCTGTTGTGAATAGCCTTGTACCATGTGACCTCTGTGATCATTCACAGATTTCACACGTAGTAAGCAATGATGCCAGAAGTGACATCTTGTTTACTGCTGTTCATGTGATCACTGATTGGGCAATCAGTGATCACATGATCGGGACCTCACACAGAGGTCCCATACAGCGATCACCAGATCGTGGTGCTGTGCGCTCCCAGGAAGCGCGCACAGGCAGTGAATGAGGGGGCCATTTATAAACGGCCACCCGCTTCGGCACTGCACCCGTCCAGCCGTTTATGTACATAGGCCGGACGGGAAATGGTTAGGATGTGTAAAAGCTTCAGTGAGGCCCATTCATACCTGAGCGTAGTGTTTTGGTGCATTTGTGTTGCTCGTATTTATGCCCATTTGTGAACGTTTGTGTGCATTTTTGTTGAGGCGTTTTCAAGCTTTTTTGAGTTCTGCCCGTTTTGTATTAGCCAACAGAAAAAATTTTCATCTGTGACATCATTTGTTGTCATGTTTTGCAATGGCAGAAAAAAACACCCTCGATGGCACACCAAAATGCGCTAAAGTGCATGAAAATGTGCAATTTGTGCATTTCCATATTTTTTTATAGGAATGAAAATGCGCCAAAAAATTGCCCAAATGGAGCTACAAAAGTAGCTCCAAAACAGACATTCTGCTTCAGGCAACTTGGAGTGGAGATGTAAACCATCTCCATAGGGTAACATTCATAATTTCTACCTGAGCGTTTTGGAGCTTTGAGCTACACAATGGTCAGGCGTGAATGGGGCCTTAAAGTAGAACTAAAGGCAGTTTCTACCTTTCCTCCAACAGTCCCATCCCTCAGCGACATCTTCTCCTGCGTGCTGGTTTATGGCCAGCTTTATTGGCCAGCGCACAATGACGTCACTCTCGTGCTTTCATTTGACATTTGAAACGTAGTTGTCAGTTCTTAGCCCTGAAGTCAAGATCCAATTATAAGCAAATTATGGAGCACAGAGGAGGCTTTTTTTGGATGATAAAGGCAAAAGCAGAAATATTTAGCAATCGTTTAACATTTTAAAAGTGTAAAATAGAATATGGAATCACCCTTTTTTGTTCAGACCCAAAGCAGCTGTGCTGGACAGACTATACTTTAGAAATTGAACCAAGTAGTATCTCTCCCTATATCTATCTCTGACCTAGTCAGTAACAGGGGTGGACTGACAACTCATGGGGCCCCCGGGCAATAGGGGATCATGGGGCCCCTGTGTCCTCACCCACACTCAAACCACACCCAAAAAAAGCCTATGAAAGGTACCAGGAGCATCTCATAGGGCCCCCAGGCAATAGGGAGTCATGGGGGCCCCTGTGTTCTCACCCACACTCAAACCACACCCAAAAAAGCCTATGAAAGGTACTAGGGGCATCTCATGGGGCCCCCTACTGACCCTGGGCCCTCGGACAGTACCCGAGCGCCCAAATGGTCAGTCCTCCCCTGGTCAGTAACTATTGCAGGCCATAGACGGGTCGTTTATCAGCCGAATTTTCGTCTGCACGAAAAATCGGCCAATATTCACGCTGTTAGTGGGGCCAGCCCGTCAGCTGTTTTTTTTGGGATCTCCTCATTTATTTTTATCAGTCATGCTGGAAAATCTGCGAAAAATTTGACATTTTTCGTGGACATTGGTGGCAGCATCGGCAACGGGGCCCGACCGATTTTTCGCCTATCTCCCTCTCTATCTCTGTATAGAACTAGTCAGTGACTCTCTCATTCTGTCTCAATGTGGACCTAGTCAGTAAAGCTGGCCATACATTATACAATTTTCTTTAGAAAATTGCTTTAGACTTACCAAAAAGCATAATAATATGATGTCAAACCTAAACAATACTTTCACTTTTATCCAGTTAAGCAGGCCCATGCACTACATAGTTGAAGGTAAATCTAAAGGAAACTGGCTGAAATTGAACAGAAAATTGTATAGTGTATGGCCAGTCTTACTCTCCCTCTCTTTGTCTTCATGTGGATTGAGTCAGTAAAGCTGCCCACAGATGGATCAAAATTTGGCCGGTTCAGCAGGGACTGCCCAAATTTCGATCCATGTAAGGCAGTCCCCATTCAACAAAAGTCAATGTTAGAAAATGTTTCGTGATCAGTGGCTGCAGCTGCTGATCATTGTATTCTGTCAGTGGAATCCCTCTGTTAGAATACAAAGGGATTGGTTTACTAAAACGAGAGAGTGCAAAATCTGGTGCAGCTGTGTATGATATCCAATCAGCTTCTGACTTTAGCATGTTCTATAAGCCCTGGTTCATACTGGATGCGACTTGGCATGCGATTTGCATGCCCTGTGACTTGTAAATTGCATGCCAAGTCGCACCCTATTGTCCGCATTTGGAGTGTTTACTTGGTCGGAGCCACACTGATTTCAACAGTAGTACATGCACTACCTTTGGTGCGATTTGCATAGACATCTGTATCAGATGTCTTGCAAATTGCACTTGAAATCGGCGTGTCCCCTGACTTTGAAATCGTGCGACTTCACTATAAGTCGAACGATTTTAAAGTCGGCCTTGATGTGAATGGAGGGTTAAGCTTTGACATAAATAATGCAGGCCTATTGGCTACCATGCACAGCTGCACCAGATTTTGCACTCTCCAGTTTTAGTAAATCAACCCCAATGCCTTTAGAAAATTGCTTTAGATTTACCAAAAACCATATAATAGGAGGTCAAACCTAACAACACTTTCAATTTTATTCAATTAAGCAGGCCCTTGCACTACATAGTTGAAGGTAAATCTAAAGGAAATTGGGCAGAAATTGAACAGAAAATTGATAGTGTATGGCCAGCCTTAGTGGGGGAGAATTCCTCAATCCACCTCGCTTGTATGGATAGAGAAATAAGTTCATTTTTTTGTTGTGTTTTTTTTTTGCTGGATTCTCAAACAAAAAAAATAAAACCATGAGTCATCTATGGCCCCCTTAAAGTCTGGCTATAGATTGGGGGTCAGCAGCCTGTAGATTGCGATCTACTAGTAGATTGTGGCCAGGTGACTGGTAGATCACGGTCTGGGCTTGCTGACCTGCATTCCCAGAGCATCAGAGTGCAATGCAGAGGGACTACTTGTAAAGTTGGAGCTGTAGTAGCGAATAAGAGCCACATAAGTTGATGCCTCCTCTGTAGTGCTGGCGCCTGTCCCATATGGAGTGATACCAACTGCACTCCACCTCTTATCCCAGCTAGCGGTCTCCAGAGTGTTTTTTTTAGCAGTGTGAAGCAATACACTGGGCATAATGGGATAGGGCAGGGGCGGACTGACCATTCAAGCACTCAGACACACTGCCCTAGGGCCCGGGGTCAGTACAGGGCCCCATGAAATGCCCCTGGTACCTTTTATAGGCTTTTTTGGGTGTGCTTTGAGTGTGGGCAAGGACACAGGGGCCCCATGATCCCCTATTGCCCGGGGACACAGGGGTCCCATGAGTTGTCAGTCTGCCCCTGGTATAGGGCTGCTTTCCCACTGATATGCTGCGGTTTACCCACATTGGGGGTGCACTGAAGTGTACCTGCAGCTTTCCTGCGAGTTTGCTGCCCTTAGCTATTGACTTCTATTATATCCTGCGGGTTTGGTGCACTTTTTGAAAGTGAACCAAGCCAGCAGGATATAATAGAAGTCTATGGAATGTGCAGTAAACCCAGGAAAGTCACAGATGGGTGGTAAAACCCCATAGTTAGGATGTGTTTTTACCACCCCTACCCAAACTGCACCCCTTTTAGCTGCAGTGGCAAGGGGTATACACTTGTCGCACCGGAGTTATATGCCCTGTCATGGTTGGGTGAATGAGGCCGCTCTGCAAGTGCCCTGCAACCTTGTACAGTACAGCAAACAAGGGGTTAAAACAAGCAGTGTTGTGTTGCTTTCTCAGCACTAGTTTTAACCCCTTGGACGCTGCATAAGCATGCAGTTACAGGGTGCTTGCAGAGTGGCCCCATTTACTTGAATGGGTCGTGTTTAGCAGGCGGTAGTACCCACCAAAAGCAACAGGGGGCTTAATTACTGCTGCAGCATGTGTACACCTTTGGCTGCTATCTCAGCAGCTAAAGGGGGTAGAGATTGGGGGTGGTAAAACTGCAACTCAACCACAGGGTTTTATCACTCCCCAACTGTATGTGTAAATGAGCCAGAAGGGTTCCGCTGCTGTATGCAACTAAGGGCTTGTTCTCTAGTATTAGCAGGTATTACCGCTCCTTGGAAAAAACGATCTGAGTTTGTTTGATGGGTGGGGAGGAGGCGATATGTTGCCTTCTCATCACTTGATTGATTGCCGTGCAATGCACGCCATTGCACGCCATTGTGACATGGTAGTACAGCAATTAGAGGTTTAAACTAGGTGTCAGGAGGCAACACTGTGCTGGGTGACCTTTGACTTCTCCCATGTTGTTCAGGTAGATCTCCACCTCTCTAAGGTTGCCTACCCCTGCCGTAGATTATGCAGTTTTCTTTTTATTCCACCATGGGTAGAAGGAAAGAAAACTGCTTGATGACTACATGAATGCTCGATTGCCACATGAATCATCTGCCCTCATTCAAGATAGTCATGACCCCAAATGCTATCCTTTTAATCCTTTTACCCACGATATCCAGTGCACTCTGATGGCTTTATTTTTTGCTACCAGATATATTGCCTTTAGATATACATGGAGTTGGTGAAGATGAGCAGTTGGCATCATTGAAGCTTGGCACCTTTGGAGATTTGGCCATTAGGACAAGTAAAGGCACAGGAGGCTATTATATACAGACTGAGTAAAGTAAACCTGACCCAAGAGAAACACAGAGGCTATAAATTCTCATCGCTTCCTCTGCAAATTGCCTGTCTGTCAAGCCAACCCTCTTGCTTCAGTACTTTGAGTCAAAGATCCCTAAACAGTTATGGATATTAGAACTTTATATATTTATTTGACTGATATGTACACTTGTCCTGGGTTGGAGACTGAGAAGGAGTAAGGCTGGCCATACACTATACAATTTTCTGTCTCAATTTCTGCCCAATTTCCTTTAGATTTGCCTTCAACTATGTAGTGCAAGAGCCTGCCTAACTGGATACAATTGAAAGTGTTATTAGTTATGACCTCCTATTATATGGTTTTTGGTAAATCTAAACCAAAAACATCAAGAAAATTTTACTCCTTCTCAGTCTCCAACCCAGAACAAGAACAGACAGGAAACTAGCATTTTCAAAAGCAGCACCCATATTTCTGCATGGCAGCTTTACTGTAGTTTGCACCAGGGGCGGACTGACCATTCAAGAACTCGGGCACAGCCCGAGGGCCCGGGATCAGTAGGGGGCCCCATGAAATGCCCCTGGTACCTTTTTATAGGCTTTTTTTGAGTGTGGGCAAGGACACAGGGGCCCCATGATCCCCTATTGCCCGGGGGCCCCATGAGTTGTCAGTCCGCCCCTGGTTTGCACTATACTTTGCAAAAGAGTAATAGACAAACACAACCCTCCTATAGCTGCTGTTCATAAGTGGCTATAAGTTCACTACCAACAAATACTCAAACCTCTTTTGCAGTTCTATCCAATCATTTATCTCATGTGCATATACTAAATACCAAATAACATATGAACACAATCTCTCAAATTATAATAACGATCTCTCAATTAAACCTGGGTTCACACTGATTCGGTCCATTATTTCCAGCGTTTTCTGTGCGAATTCTGCACCGCATCGGAATCGCACCCCATTCAGGCGAACCGCTTCGGGTGTGTATGTTAAGTTAACAACACCCCGAAATCAGTCTGCAAAACGCAGTGCGATGGGCAGAACCGGATCACATGGGTGTGAATACCCATGCGATCTGAATCTAGTGCGGACCCAAAAAAGGGTCCTGCACCTTTTTGGTGCGGATGCAGTGTGATTTGAGCCATACATAATATATGGCTCAAATCGCACCGCACACAATTTGCATGTGATTTGCACAGGAATGCGGTTTCTGCGTGAATCACATGCGATATACCGCACCACATGAGTGTGAACTCAGGCTAAAAGTGTTTGGTGCATACACAAAAAGGTTCATCATTAGCCATTCTCATTCTTCATTGATCATCCAAAAGTGCTCAGTTCAAAAAAATATCTATATGGTGAAAAAACGTATGGACAGGTAAAAAACAGACAGGTCAATACATTGCACTTGTATAATAGGAGTGGCAAAATGCATTGGAATGGGTTTCCGGAGATGTTGCTCCTCGCCCAGAACACTGGCAGATGAGAGCCTATGATTGTTTT